TACTGAGGACAAACATCTTTCCCTTTCATGCTGTGAACATATAGTATGACAAATGATCACACACGTCTTTGATTACTTATGACTGATCATGTGACTGAATACTTTTTTATATTATTTCTTCATTACAATTTGGTGGTTTATTTTCTGAATTTGTGTGTGGGTTTTTGCATTGTTTGTTTATTTTGTGTGGGGTTTTTTTTGTTTGTTTGGTTGATTGGTTTGTTTTCTATTAGTGTAGTTTTCTTCCTTTGGTGAAAATGACCATGATCCATCCAAACACTCTGCATTTTGGGTTTTAGGAAAGGAGCAAAAAGGCTTCAGCATATCCTTTTCAGTAAAATTTTACCATAATCTCAGACCTGAGTGATCATTTTCATATCTGGAAATCTTCATGAAGAGTTCTGTTCTTTGCAGGGCAGGTCTCTGTTTTGCATCAAGACAGAATAATGATTTCAACCTCTTTTACCCAATGTTTCAAGCTTTCCTGGTTTCATGAGCAAGCTTTATACTGACACTGATAGACTTTTCTTTGGTGATGGAGATGAAATCTTTCCCTTTGTGCCTGCTCCCCCATTTCCTCCCCAGAAAGGAAGGTTTATAGAAAGAGCTGTGTGTAGCTATTGGCAATAGAGGCTTTGATGTTATTCTTGATATTCTTATTATCAAATCCAGAGAATCAAGCTTCTTGAGATGTCCAGTGAGCTAGTTTCAATATACGATCCTGCTCCAGGTGAATTAAGTGTTTTATTTCAGACTTTCACCTCACTGCTAGCTGTTCATTCTGTGAACTTGCTGCAATCTATCCAAGCCACTCACTGTGGCAGGCATGAGAGTTGCACAGATCTGTGGTTAAACCATATACCTCAGTAATGGAACTTCTGGTTGCTTTAGGATATGGGATATGCTTTTGCAAAATGCTGATATGGAGACAAAGCCACTGTCTGCCTGCTCCACGAAAAAGGTTTAGAATTCGTGGTGGTAGAATGACCTATCAACCTATCAATGTGAGAAATGCTTACTCTGAAAGGATACCTAAGACTGTTTTACACTAATTTCTGATCTCCTGGTTCATCCCCAGCGTTTGAAGGGATTTCTGTTGTTCAGAGGTCTGATTATGAAGACCAGATGGTATTTGAGTAAGAGTGCTGTGTTGATGCTGCATTACAATGATCTTGTTTCTCATGTTGTGCTTCAGTCACTGGGTCAGTTGTTTCTTGTTTCAAGACTCTGAAACTTTCCTTTGCATTGAGTTGTCCTGGTTATGGAGGGGAAGGTGGAAAAGCCTGTCAGGAGTGAGCTGTGATGTTAAAGTGCAGGTGGAGAATTATTTGAAGGGAAATAAAGAGAAGATCATGAAAATATTTTGTTTCTTTCACAAACTCCCACGTTACGTTGATGGTGCTGAGAGGACCTGAGACGTCCTCTGCCCATAGCTAACACATGCATGTGGCATGTATTGAGGAGAGCCATATGTTCTTTCTATAGAAGCACACCTTAGGGCTAGAATGTTTCCATCTCAGTGACTGCGAGCATGCACACTTGCGTTGTGCATGTGCAAATGGATAAAAATGTCTTAGAGAAATTCCAGGTCCTGATACTTACCTGTTCTCTTATGTGCTCTGTATACTCAACTGCATTCCAGAGAAAACTGCTACTTTTTTCCTTGTCATTTCATTGTTTTCTCATTGTCTTCAAGAGCCTAATACTTTGTGGAAACATGATATGTCTGTTAATCTATTTTGTACTTTGATTGTACCCATGATCATTAAATAATATATTTAACAATAAAAGTTTAGAATTTGAGATTTGTTTTTGATATGTACAGTGTAGGTAACTACAAAATATTTTTATTGATAGATACCAGCTGATGGGAAAAGCCTCTTGGAAATACAAGGCTTAGAACCCAATGAGAAATACATATTTGCAGTTGCAGCATATTCTTCTGATGGAAAACTTATTGGTGATGCCATTGGGGAAATGACTATGCCAATCCTGGCTTATCAACCTCTTTCTGTTACTACTGTTCGAGCCTATCTAACTCAGGTAGGGTTAGAGTCTTTGATAATAAACGCATACTTTAATATGATTGTAATTACTTGTTTTCACTGGTAGATTTAAAAATCCATCTGGTAAAAACTCAAGCCTTTCTTGAAAAAGCTTGATAGGCACAAATCACAATTTTAATGTAACAAATGGTATATTTCAGTAACTCAATTCTTAATTAAAAATTACTGAAAATTCCAGTTTAAGGGGAAAGATGTCTCTAGCTAGTTTTTTTATCCCTGTTTCTGTTTTTTAGTCTGCATTTAACTTCTTTCTTCTTTTTTACCATTTATTTTTTCATTTTTGTGATTGAGACCAAGTGCTAGTAATCATCTTATTAGTCATTACAGTATGGGATGAAAAATGTGATTGAACTTACCAGGTAGCAGATCCAACCACTTTCATATTGAAATTATTTTTGTTGTATCTTGTGGAAGACCACAAAGGCTCTGTCAGACCTTTGTCATATTTTTCTCTATTCTTAATAAAGAAGATTTAAAACAGATTGTGGCATGGAGAAAAGTGAAATTGTCTAACCCTATAGATCGGATCATGGGGAACAGTTAGAAGATTTCCTAAACTATTCCAAAGGAAGAGGCATCCACATGAATTTTTGCCTGCTTGAGCAGCTCCATTTACATCCCATTATAGAGAGCAGCAGGGCATTCTGCAGTATTAGTAAAAGTCAAATGAACATAGATGAAATAATATGCCTTCAAAAATGCAGCACAATACCTGTAAAGTATTCCACAAAGGGCTGTTACATCCTTGGTTAGCAGTCAAAAACCTCCTTTGCCTTCTCTGATGCTAATTCTGAAGGCAAACTAATATTAGCAGAATCAGGTTGCTACTACATGTATTTTATTCAAATATGTCAGAATATTCTTAGAAATGTAAATGTATATGTTGGTAGGTTAAAACCCTTTTTATGTACTATAATCATATCTGGTGTAGTTCTTTGATGAGCATGGAAACTTGTTTTGTTTTCTTTTTAAATTTTTTTGTAGGTTGCCTATCAGACGGGCAACTTCTCTTTAGCCAGAGAAGCATTTTCACCAATGTGGGATTATTTTGTTTCACATTCTTCTCCACCGCCTGCCAATGCAGCTGTTATTTCTGCAAGTAGTAATTTGACTGTAGCTGAAAACAGGTAACAAATTTAGATAATAGTTAATTATAGGTATGCACATTTTATTTTAACGAGTACCAGGCTGTGAAATTTTGTTCAGACTTGCAATATGAAAAACAGTCTGAAAAAAAACCAGGTGTGAAATGTGTTTTAAAAATATAGTGGTTTATAATTAGCAGAGAATTTCTGTTATTTATGGAAGTGCTGTCATTTATACACCTAATTCTTGATGATGATATTTTTCTTAAGATAACTGGGAACATTTATGAAGTGGTTATTAATTGTGTGATGCATTTTCATATGTGAAATACGTAATACGCATTGGATTCTTGACTTGCCAACTAAGGGAGCAGTAGAATTCAGAAACTTTGAAAGTTTTGTCCAGAACACCACCCAAAATACGTAAATACTTGGTAATTTTGTTTTGGGAAGGCTATTTAAATCTGTTAGTAATCTTTGAATATGCTGAAATGCTTTAGAAGAGATATTGATCCATTTATAAATAAATTTCAAATGTTCAACCATAATATTGTAGGTTTTTCATGATGACAAATCCCAGCTAGGAATTTTGTGGTTACATTCACTGAAATCTGATAGATCCAAATGCAAAAATAAATCAAAATTAATTCTCTGATAATAGAAAAAGACTTGTATGAAATAGTAGATATGAAATACTGTAATAATAAAATAAATTATTGTAAATGTTAGTCAACTGATTATAATTTGATAATGAATCAACGTCCAACATAACTGAACACAAATCATCATCTTTACTTGTGTGGAATTCTTTTTAGATTAATCCTTTCATTAGGAAAGTTTTGGCTAGTTTGTTAAAGAGGGATGAAAATGTTTTTCAGCATCTCCATTTCAGTTTGACAGACTGGAACAGTCTTGTAACTGTAGTGACAAGCAGGAAACTTTCTGCATGTATATTAGTAGTTCTTGAATCTTTCAAGAATTATGAAGAAATAAAGAAATAAATATAATTATTTCAAGAAATAGGTATTACAAGGATTTTCTAAAGGTTTTGTCAAAATACTTTCATTTCCACTTTACAGATAGAATAATTGGTAATCAGCTATTCTGAGACATATAATGTAGGTAGCATCTTCCCTATATTGTTTTGATATACTTGCCTCAGAGCCCATGGTTTTCTCATGGTAATGCTATTTGGATGCAAGCAGATTATGTAGGCTTGTGTGTGCCTTTAATCCTGTTACAGGAAAAAGTAATGTCTCTGAGCATACTTTGTGTTTCGGGCTCAGCCAGACCACTAGTGTGTATCCTCTCTGTCCTCCAAGTGCCACTATGTGTCTGATACTAGGCATACAAATTGACCAAAGGTCTTGATGTTACATGCCGTAAAAGTATTTGGGATTTACAGGCAGCCTGTGGATTGCCTTGATGCAGGCAGATAATCACTAGGCATCCTATTTCATGAGTATGTGAGTGTTTTAAATCTAACCCTGGCCTAGGCAGCAAAGCAGGACTGCAAGTCTGGTCATTGTGCTTGCTTTTTTCCCCACTTACTTTTCCTTAATCTTTTTTCCTAAGCAGTTCTTTTACTTACTTGCTTGCTTACTTACTTACTTACCTACTTACTTACTTACTTACTTACTTATTTATTACACATACAGCTTAAGAGATAACATTTGAATGAAGCTACTTTGAGATAAATCAAATGAAGACAGAAAATTTTAAATAGATGGGCAAAGCGGTTTCATGGATTTTAGTTTTCTGACCGTTATGTCCAAGCATTTTTATTGTGATTTTTTTTAAAATAACTATTACGGAAGATTCTCAAAGCTGTAGTATCAGACCTGAAATGAGACAGTTTCAGTTTTATTGATCATAGCCAAGAAATTATAGACTAGTTTGAAAGTGCATAGGACTAAAAGAGACAGTAGAGGGAGCTGGAAGGAAAGAAAACCTCTTGTTTTCTGCCGGAAGCCCTGTTGATACCTTGGTAATGTCAAATATGTGAATGTGTCTGTTTCATCTTTCTTTTTGAGTTTCAGTCTCTTTTGAGACATAAAGTCGATGAGAGGGAGGAATTTGTTTCTTATGCTTTAAAATTATAGGACTTTTCTGTAACAATATTTTAAAAAAATGCAACAAGAGCAAATGCCTCCCTACCTACCAAAAAAAGAAAAAAAAAAAGAAGAAAACCCAGAAAACCCACTAACAACGAAAAAGCATGCAGAATAAAAGAGATTCTTTTGAGACTTGTAGTACAGGACACCAGTGATGAAAAGAAGTCTGTTACTCATACTTAGTAATGGACTTCACAATTGCATGTGTCACTGTCAGGACACAGAAAAAGGCTCTTTATGAGACAGCCAAAATAATTAAGCTGTACCATCCCAAGTTTTCAAAGTAAGTTTCACTGCATTAGATGAAACAACTAAGGAAAAGGTGTCTGAGGATTGTAGAAGGTAGACAACAATTTGAAAAGGAGTCTTATCCTTTTTATTTATGTTAGAAATTTTAAGCATTTTTTTCAGGTTTATATATAAATCTTATTAGCAGCAGTAAGCCTTTTTGTACGGTTTCAGGCATGCAATATCTGAATCGTCATTTCCATGCTTTTACCATTCTTCTGCTTTTTTGTTTTGTAGGTTACGTTTTGAAGCTGTATCTCAGAGTTCTCTTATTACCTTGAAACTCTTTCTAAGGAGTATATTTGTTTTTTGTGACATTAATGTAATGGAAAGAGCACTCTTCTGTGATTCCATCTGTTCCCATGAGATACTTTATAAGGAACAAGTATGTATGTCTTAAAATAACATACTGGACAGGCTGAGAAAACTAGGGCTGTTCAGTCTGGAGAAGAGAAGCTGCATGGAGACCTCATAGCAGCCTTCCAGTATCTGAAGGGGGCCTACAAGCATGCTGGGGAGGAACTCCTCATCAGGGACTGTAGCAACAGAACAAGGGATAATGGGTTTAAACTTAAACAGGGGAAGTTCAGGTTAGATATAAGGAAGAAGTTCTTTACAGTGAGGGTGGTGAGGCACTGGAATGGGTTGTCCAAAGAAGTGGTAAATGCTCCATCCCTGGTAGTGTTCATGACCAGGTTGGACAGAGCCTTGGGCAACATGGTCTAGTGTGTGGTGTCCCTGCCCGTGGCAGGTGGGTTGGAACTAGATGATCTTAATGTCCTTTCCAACCCAAACCATTCTATGATTCTGTGATTTGATTTTACTTTTTGATCAGCTTTATTTCGTCATTGCAATATAAATGTTGCAATGTACTAATCGTGTTTACAGAATACTTAATTTTCTGTGAGTTATCTGGTCTTCCTTTCTGAAGTGTTTGAGTAGCTGTTGGTTATTTTGTATCCTGCTGGGAAGATGGTTTCTGAATCAGTTATTGTCTAATCCAGAGCTCACTGATTCCAACTGAGGAAGGATTTTCCTTCACTTCAGTGGTGGTAGACTATAACTTAAGTAAGAAATATAATATTTTTTTTTTGTCCTACTAAGATGCATCTTGTATTTTTAATTTTAAAAATGTTTGCTACTTAATACACGGTTTTTTATTAATATACAAGTTCTAACAGGGTTTCATGGTTTTAATATACTAGGCTTCTTCCGTCTTATTTCAGACTTTCTTACAGTATAAGGGCATGTTAATGACAAAAGCTTTATTTTTTATTTAGATAGTCGAGTTTTGCCTTCTGTAGTATTACATTCCTATTTCACTCTGTCTTTGTTGTCTTGTAAAAATCTGAACAGTCGATTACTCAGTGACTTTACTGGATCTGCTGACACTTGCAAGGACTGCAGCAGATAGCTGGAAAGGAAAGGAAGAAATATTTATCCTTCTCTCATGTACTCTGAGAGTTTAACGTGAGAAATTTCCACTCCACACAGGTTGAGCTTATTAACCGGGTTTTGTAGATTATATGGGCAAATTCAGAGGGCAAAATTAGGTCATTTACTTTAGAATCATGTATAATGCTTGATTTGTTTGTATACTTCTAACAGGTGCCAATGTAAATTCATTTTTAAATTTTCATCTTACTTGCTCCTTACACTGCTTTTTAAACTGCAATAATGTCTGTCTTCTTTCATTCTCAAATGATTTAAAATAACAGAATTTATATTTGAATCAAAATGTGTTTTTCTTCTACAGGTTGCTAGATTAGCAGAATGTGAAAGAATGACTGTGGCAATTGAACTTAGCAGTTGGTTGAATGATGCAAGTTACACCCTACAGTCTGTTGTACAATGTTATGGTCTCCTTGCTCCAATTATTTATCACAAGATTTCTTCAGTGCCAGTAGTTCAGGTAAGAGATTTTAAGACAAAGCACCTGGCATCCAAGTCCTGCAGTTATAGTGATTCAAATTAAACTTAGAATGGAGTGGGAGAGCTAAATATCTAAGCTTTGAGTTCTTACTAGCTTCTGAAAGAAAAGCCTTTTATGATTTTATATGTTCACAATGCATATGTGTTTCACATAAGGTGTACAGATTCTGCTTTTAGATACACTGAAGAAGCTGCAGAATATCAATTGTTTCTTCAGGATAATTTGTTGGCATTTTTAAAATAGTCAAGTAAATTCTACTTGAATACTATATGCAGATGGCAATTTTGAGGAAAGAAAAGCAGCATTTGCCTATGGCTTTTTTTGGAATGTTTGCTTCATATACAGTTTTTGTCTTAAATAAGAAGGCTGTTCAGTATTTTGATAATGCAGTCCTTAGTTTTCAGGCACATGCTCCTTTCTAGAAGCAAGCACCTTCTCTTTGAAAACAGAGTACCTGAATCCTATCCTGCCATTTCTGAAGCAGCAGATGTGGGGTTTTTTTAGATTCAATGATACAGTAGGAACATGCAATTTTTTTCCTGTAATTATGTAGTTTTTCAGGAAGCAGCAGTAAAAGCATATTTGTATGATGTAGGTGACTGCAGTGCAGTCAAGGCATAGACCAGCGACATCTGAACATTGCAGGCAGAACAAGGTGTTGGTAAGAGGATCCAGTGAGAGTCCAGAGCAAGTGAAGTTACTGGGCTGGCCTAGGGTCCCTCTAGGAGGAAAAGGCAGGAGCTTCAGGAGTTGGAGCTAGAGACTGAAGACAAGGCTACAACACAGGCCCATTGTCCATCCATGAGACAGGACTGAAGACCAGCACACCAGTACTGTAGCTGAAGCAGGGACTGAAGGATTGTGTCTGATCCTAACTGGGGCTCCTGGGCCCCTGGGGAGAAGGTGTGAGGGGAGGCCCCAAGTGAGGCTGCTCAGGGAATGACTATTGGGGCGTTCAGGGCCCTGAGAAGTTTTTAGGAAAAAACAATAAATCTATTTACATACAGGGATAGCCTCTCACTTAAGAATTTGTCTGTGATCACCTACTAAAGACACAGCTAGCCACTGGAAATGGCTTATGTTTCAGATTTCCTAGTTAAAGGGAAAAATAGTTTAGTCACATATTATTTTTCTTGTCCAATAGACAAAAGTGGGAGAAAGAAATCTATTTTTAGACCATACTGGAAATGTTTTCTTTCATTAAAAATTCTCACCAGCTCAATGTATTTTTAAGCAGTCCTCTACTAGGAATATGTCGTCTCACTGAATGAAGCGTTCTTTGATTTCACATTAATTAAATCAGCAAAAAATTTTCATATCTGTGATTTTATGTGAACATGTAATTTATTCCAAAGGGCTGTGGTTGAAATCTTGGCACTGTTAAATTAAATGGAAATTTTATTATTGGGCTTTCATAGAGCTAGCATTTCATCCTATCCATTAGATTTTCACATGGTTTTGAAGTTCACCATCAAATACAATAGGCTGTGCAGAGAGGTACAAGCTTGTAAATGTGTTGCAGACTCCAGACTTTGTTTTAACCCTTGTATTTACAGATCCTCATTAAGTGCTTGGCTGTCCTTCAAGAAATTCCAAGTGCTACTTTGCAGAGGACACAGGCAGGATGTTATGAGAGCATTCAGCATATGATAGCTTGTACTTCATTTTATACAGCAAAGGTATGGTGTGTATTGTTGTGCTTATACCTTGGTTTAAGATATAGCTCATATCATTTAGAGAATAAAAAAAATATGGCACACTGGCCTTCAGAGTGATATCTTAGAGAATTAGCATTCTTAAACGGTAAAGGTGCAGAAATATTTGTTAGTATATTTCAGTGCATTTTATATAATACTGACATTTTGACTTTTTAATAGAATTGAGAATTTTCATTTGTTCAGAAGGTAGACTGTAACTCTTAGCCCATGAAGTGAAATCTGTATTTTATATCATTGTGTTTATTTTTACATGTAAGGTAGTACTATTTTCAGTCAGGCCTATATGCAATATATAAATTTATAAGTTTATTTACAGCAAATAGGCCATATCTGTAGTTCTAATCAGATTACCATATCTGTCTTACTTGCTAATGAGATACAAGAGACTTTATATCATTCAGTCCCACATGCTGGCAGGTACATAAACACCTTGACTTTTAACAATTACGTGTATCTGTAGATTAAGTTTATGATTCAGATACCCAATCTGCTTAGTGTGATTAGGAGAAACATGGCAACAGTAGGATTTTTATCTCAGGTACAGAGACATACTAGAGGTAAAGTACCTGCCATGATAAATGTAGGATGCTGAAAAAGTCAGCTTTCCTCCAGCTTTGAGTACACCTTACCTGTGAGCTCATACTGAAGCTGAGCTGTGGCTGATGATTTGAGGGATTCCTCTGTGTTGGTGATCCCTTACCCTGGTTTTTATAACAGCTGGATCTCTGTGCTCATCTCACAAGACCAGATTAGTGTCAAATATCCTCAAAAGTGCACTGCAAGAAGACCCAGTTTTCATTCTTTTCATAAAGATGAGTATTTTAAGCCTGTCATTTTCTTTATATTTATCAATGATTTCATGGCTGTGAGGGCAGTATCAGGTCATGGTGAGGGCTGGGAACCTGAGACCCAAGGGCAATGCTGTGGCTGGCAGAGCAGCATCTGGTGGTCAGGTTCAACCAGGAGTATAGATCATTGGGTGAGTTTGTGGTGATGAGGCTGGTCTGAGCTGAAGCTGGGAAGTCAATACATGGGTCAGGATCAGGTCTAGTGCGAGTAGCTAGGGTCGGATGCAGCCCAGCAGTCTGTTTCCATAGTGATGGGAGCAGTCTGAGGTCAAGCTGAGGAGTCAGTCCCTGGGTCAGATGTCCAGACCAGTGGATGCATTGCTAGGCCCAGGCATTGCTTGGAGCATGCT